TTGACATCAGAAGTAATTACCCCCCTTTCATGTTCTTTTTTTTGTTTATTTGCTTTCATTTTTCTTGTGCTGGCTGTGCTCTTAAGATGCACTTTTCTTGCTGAGATGAGCTGTACTGCAGTGACAACGGTTCACCACCAGTGGGCACATAGAGCACGGTGAGCAGCACTCCTGACAATTAAGCGCAGTAACGGCTGGTCAGCGAAGGCGCTCGCTCACTGTCGCTCTCATGTTTCAACAGCGTTCATCGAAATAAAAGAACCTGCGCAAAACCACACTGATTAATTTTTAAGTGTGCAACACTAGCTAGTGTATGAGCTGGCCACTGCATGTTTGTTCTGCCACTATATATATTTGGAAGTACATAGGTGGTGAAAATGGCAACAACACCAAGGCAAAGGGTGCCCCATGTATCCTTAGAAAGTCTTCAAGTAAAAAATTTTTTTTTGCTGTTTTCTGGCATACAGAAATAATTTGGGTAATTCTAACAGAATTAAATCAAGAGAAGTTCAGACTGATTTATCTTCAGACAGTGAGAAAAAATGTGTATGTGTCTTTTTAGTCTGCACTTGCAAATATCTTATTTCATCTGTATTTATAGAAAATGGTTGTCTTGCTTGACAAAATGGTTGTCAAGTAAGTTGATCCTGAGAGCAGACTGCAAGATGCTAAAGGAAGTCTCTAAAATCCTAAAATGACAGAATGGAACCTGCAGCAGTTACAGGACATTCCTCTAATTTAATCCTAATTTAAGCATTATTGTAATTTGTCTAGGTTAGTTTTAGATTATAGTTTAATATAAATTGTTTTGTTTTTAAAAAACAGAAAATAGTTTGCTCTATAATTTTTTTTAAATTTCTACAGTTTCAACACCACAGACTGAAATTCAGCCCTGGTAAAAAGACAGAAAAGTAGAAAATGTTTCCAAAAACTGAGCTCTATAAGATAATGAGAAAAAACACAGTACATCTGTGGCCTACAGTTACATTTTATAATTTAAAATCATAAGCTCTGTGCATTTACTAGTACATTTAAAAAAACTTCTTACTGACAAATTCAAGCAGAAAAGTGAGCAGAAGGAAGAAGTTCGTTTCAGTCTTTGTTTTATGACATTTTTGGAATACAGAGATGAAATTTATTATCTTTGTTTGCAACAGGTGTATCTGAAATATGAGCAATAAAGTATGAAAAAAAGGTGAGAAGAGAAGGAATGTGAAATTCACTCCACCCACATTTCAGAGGGTATAAATACGCTCGGCTCTGAACGACAACTATCCCTCCACTTCTGCAGAGACAGATCCCGGTTGAACATTCACGGCCGTAAGTACTTATGATATTTAATGTAATAATGTTCGGTCTGAAAACAGATTATTTTTGAAAGTTCTCAGTAGCATGTCTAAACTAACAGCTTTTATTTTTGAAGTGACACTGAAGGAAACATAGGAAAGCTAAACATGACAGCAGATGGTCTGTTGTAACCAACAGTTGGACGATACACTATACAGCAATAGTAAAACACTGACGAATCATTGCTGACTTCCTAAATACTAAAATTCATATTATTTGCTTTGGACAGATCCAACTTGTTTTGGAAAGATGAGCAAAAACTACATGTCAAAGAACGATGAGCTCCGTAAGGGAGACTATCTCATGTCCAACAATGGACAATGGAAGGCAGTTTTCCAAGTAAGTAGCTCAGCTGTTCCCATTTTAACTTCACTTCACCCAGTTTCAGTATCAGCTTTATTTGCAAGTCTTAAGCATTGCATTGAAATGACTGATTGCACTTGCAGAATGATGGAAACTTTGTCGTCTACGGCTGGAAGCCGACCTGGGCCTCAAATACTTGCGGATCTGATGTGATCCGCCTGGTCATGCAGAAAGATTGCAACCTGGTCATGTACAATGAGAATAACCAGCCTAGATGGGCCACCGGCACAAACACACCACCAAAAGACGGTTACCACGTTTGCCGTCTTTATTTGTCCGATGAGGGCATACTGCATTTGTCAGAGGATAGCCAAGAATTGTGGAAATCCACCAAACCCACAGGCAACTAATAATGCAACATTGAATGTGATTTGGATCAAGCACCAATGCTTAAAATTGTTTGGTTTTTGTTTGAATGCAACATGACATTGGTTTAAAAGCTGAAATAAAAATTATTTTAAAAGTTTAAATCTTCTGTCTTTTTTGTTTGACCAGATCAATGTGGTGCATTCAGGCATCTGAGCATTTTATCAAAGCTCAAACTAAACTAGTGAAAGTCCAAAAATCTTTTCTGATTATATTCAAGAGTAGCGTTACTTCAACATATTTTTACTCAAGTAGCACAAGAAAGCAGATCATTTGAGGTGTTACCTTAACCATCTTGTGCCTCACTTATCTCAAGACTTACAAAGTCAATAAATCATTTTATGAGTTTTCCCACATTGCTCAACATCTTTGTAAACTTCTGATTTTGAAGAAAGTAATGTAATCGCTCTTCATATTCTTGTATGTGGCAGAAACAATGCTGGTGAACCCAGAAGTCCTATCTATTACATAGTTCCAGGAACTTTGTAACTGATAGCCATCTTCAGGGCCGTGCAGAGACCACTAAAGGGGCAGGTGCTCAAAAAAAAAGGGGCATATCTTACCGCATTCTAGGACAGAATATTAACAAAGCCACTCGGCTTTCAGAGTTTAATAAACAATGATAAATAACAAAATTGTGAGATATACAATCAAAGCTAAGGAAAATTTCTATATAAAGCATACAGCTNTACGAAGAATGTGGGATTTAAAAAAAATGGTGATTGGACAATATTTTTTTTCCTGGTAGTCAGGAGGATATGTGGGTGTGACATAGTTTCATAGTGTGACGATAGCTGCACAGAGCAGCTATCGTCACACTGAAAATGTTTAAAAATCCAACCGTCGGAGAATGTTTTTAATTAATATACATGTTTTTAGAAAGAATTTGAATGTGGATTCACCCACATAGTTTCACAGTAAGAAACTATGTGGGTGGATTCACTCCACCCACATTTCAGAGGGTATAAATACGCTCGGCTCTGAACGACGACTATCCCTCCATTTCTGCAGAGACAGATTCCGGTTGAACATTCACGACCGTAAGTACTTATGATGTTTAATGTAATAATGTTCGGTCTGAAAACAGATTATTTTTGACAGTTTTCACTAGCATGTCTAAACTAACAGCTTTTATTTTTGAAGTGACACTGAAGGAAAGGTAGGAAAGCTAAACATGACAGCAGATGGTCTGTTGTAACCAACGGTTGGAGGATACATTGTACTACAATAGGAAAACACTGACGAATCATTGCTAACTTCCTGAATACTAAAATTCATATATTCATATTATTTGCTTTGGACAGATCCAACTTGTTTTGGAAAGATGAGCAGAAACTACATGTCAAAGAACGATGAACTACGTAAGGGAGACTATCTCATGTCCAACAACGGACAATGGAAGGCAGTTTTCCAAGTAAGTAGCTCAGCTGTTCCCATTTTAACTTCACTTCACCCAGTTTCAGTAACATCTTTATTTGCAAGTCTTTAGCATTGCATTGAAATGACTCTGATTGCACCTGCAGGATGATGGAAATTTCGTCATCTATGGCTGGAAACCGATCTGGGCCTCTGACACCTGTGGATCTGATGTGACCCGCCTGATCATGCAGGCCGATTGCAACCTGGTCATGTACAATCAGTGTAACCAGCCTAAATGGGCCACCGGCTCATATAAACAAGGTGACAATGTTTGCCGTCTTCATCTGTCCGATGAGGGCATACTGCATTTGCACCACGATAGCCAAGAATTGTGGAACTCCACCAAATCCAAAGGCAAGAAATAATGCAACATTGAATGTGATCTTAGGGTCAGTCACCAATGCTTAAAACTGTTTGCTTTTCGTTTGAACGCAACATAACATTGGTTTAAAAGCTGAAATAAAAACTCTTTTAAAAGTTAAAATCTTTTGTCTTTTTTTGTTTGACCAGATCAATGTGGTGCATTCAGGTATCTGAACATTTATCAAAGCTTGAACTAAACTAGTTTAAGTCCAAAATTCCTTCCTGATATCTTTACATCAGTTATTTCCATGGTGTAGCACAAGAAAGCAGACAATTTGAGGCGTTACCTTAAGTATCTTGTGCCTCACTTATCTCAGACTCTTACAAAGTCATTATCATGGTGGTGATACATACTGATTTAATCTGTATGTATAGAAAATTGTTTTCTTTCTGTCCAAGTAAGTTGATCCTGAGAGCAGACTGCAAGATGCTAAATGAAATCTCTAAAAACCTTAAAATGTCAGAATGGAACCAGCAGCAGGTTCTTTTTACTGTTGATAAATGATTGAGGGGAAACTTTTGAAAGAGAAAAATTTACCCAACATTAGCTGCGTTTCCATTACAAATATATGCAAAATTTTGTCAATATTCCACTATCAAAAAACACAATTTCGTAGTTGCAGTGTTTCCATTAAATGGAGAAAAAAATAAAAATCACGACTAAGTTTGTTCACATGAATCATCATTAAAAAAAACATGACGATTCATGTTCCTCCAACCACTTCCTGTCGTCTTCCTCTTCGTGGTTTGGGCTAGTGGCAACAAAAAATTAAACACACTAAGAAAAGATTTTAAAAACTGCCTTAAACCTTCAGAAAAACAGTGGCAGGTTATTCTACAACGGTTGAGAAAATTAGTCTAAAGGTAAACAACCAGGATTTACCGCTTTCTTATTGTTTTAAAAAGATTGTCGTGAAACCTGGTTGGAACTGGTTGAGATCTCACCAGAGCGCGCACATTCCAGATCAAAAAGGCCTGAAGTAAACAAAGTAATCTTGTATTGTGATTAAAGTCAATGATTGATTTGTTCTGTAGTTCGAAGTTATGTAGATGTAATGACAATAAGAAAAACATGTAATTCTTTTGATTGAAAAATAATGATTGATTCTAGTTATAAACTTTCTATAATTCTGTTGATGATCATATGAAAGAATGAAAGGTTAAAGTAGATCACAAAAGTTAACAAAATGTCAAGTGTCATAGATGGAGCTGAGGGGGTGAGAGAACAGTTAGTATGGGAAGTAACAGGAAGTGAAACTGTGTGAGGAGCACATAGGAAACAGGTGCAGATGGCAGAGGAGGAACCGAGAATGCAACTCGGAAAGAAAAAGGGTTTAACTAAAGGTTTTGGTCAACCAAGGAAAAGTTGACGTGAGGGAAGTTGTGTGGACCTAGGGTCAGTGACACGTAGGAGATGTAAAAAGTAAAGATAAGGGAAATGAACGGATGCAGAAAGAATAAAAAGTCACAACACAGAAGGATCGGGGTTCTTTGTTCCGCAGCGTTTGAGTCGAGCACACATGGAGAAGCAGAATCAACGGAGGGCTGCGTGATGACACCCCGGGACGACTGCTCGCTGCCCAAGGGAGGAACAAGATCTGTTTACCCACAACCCGGGACTCTGATTCGGCTGCGGCCCCCCGCTCAACCCAAAGGATTACATCGATGCTGCAGTGGACATGGGGAATGGACAAAGGTCTTTTGTGGATAAAAGAACTGAGTTCGTTGAGGATTCTCACCAGTTCAACTTTGGATCTATTCTGAAAGGATTCTGTCAAGACAAGGACAGGACTCCATCCATGGACGTTAAAGTTTCTGCTGCCAAGATCGTCTCTGCATCTGGGTTCGAGTAATACTGCCTCCCCCCCAAAGCCTCTATTTAGATTAAGACATAGTGTAGGGTTAGAAGTAGGAGTAATTTCTGATGATTCTTAAAAGTTTTAATTTCTTAATTTTTATCGAAATGCTGTATGTCTTTTCCCTTGCTTAAGCTTGCTAATAAAATTACTAAAGTCTAATTTGATGTTGTGGACAGTTAAATTAATTGAGTCATCTAGATTTAATTTCTCTGATCATTGTAAAATCAATGTTTGTGGTCCTAGTAACTTGGGGTGGCTTCGTACGTTCTTTAGTTCAGATAAATAATGTCCCTGGGACTTATTCCTAGTCACTAAAACTATCCAAGCCGGTTATCAAGTGCACGTTAATTATTAGGGAGAGAGCTACCGTTAACAGATGTGGTTCATGGGTTCGGACACCGGCAGGGCTACTCCGATTGTCTGAATCTTGGACTGAAGCGGGGCATAACGTCTGGATGTAGGTAGTTAGAACTTGGACGCATCTCTCCCGCTCCCAGCTTAAATAAAAGTTCTCTAAATTCTTATCTGCGGTAATACCCGGGAATTAGAGTCTTTTCGGACCCGTGAGACGGAGAGCTGGTCAGTAGTCAGTCTGCTAGAGTGGGGAGGTGTTAAGGGCGTGGCTGAGTACTGAGAATTAACAAGATGGAACGACGGAAACCAAACTCTGGATTATGTCCAAAAGGTCAAAAGTTACTTTAATCTTAAAGTAGAAATGTATAAACGGCTCTTCAACTGCTTCAATTTCACAAGAACATTTTCCTCACACAAACAAACCTTTTTGAACTTTCTTGAATGTGGACGTACAATTTAGGTAATCGTCTGATAGTGTTATATTTTTTCAAACATTGTGACGTCCCCCTCCACTTTCTGTGGAGGGATCCGTCAGTTATTGTGTTTTGTCTTGAGGCGGAGCAGAGTGGGCGGGACCAGGATTCGCCAGGCCCAGCGCGTCATCGCTATAGAAGCAGCCTGCTTCAGCGCGTGAAGAGAGAGGAGTTGAAGCTGGTTGGAGGGAGTCGGCTTCTTTACCCAGCTCTGCTCTGCAGAGGTGGCTCTTCCCTTACCTGTCTGGCCACCCCGTCCTTGTTAGGTTTTGTTTGTTTGACCTTTCTTTTCTTTTGCAGGACTTTTCCTTCATCACTGGCTTCAGAGATGCCATCGACCACAGGGGGGCCACCCGCTTGTCGCTGTTTGGCCCTGTTTAGTTGTTTGGGTTGTTCAATAAAGAGCGTATTCTTTTATTGAAGGCCGTGTCTCCCTGGCTTTTTGTTGCGGCTCACGAGCCGGGTCGTAACAAACATGAAAATGTAATGGTGTAAATTCTGCCTCATCACTTTAATAAAAAGTAAAAATAAATTATCCTATAATTCCTTCAATTTAAAACTAATTTAAGATTCTTTGTGCTTTGCCCAGATTAGTTTGCTAAATAAAAATATTTAAATTTCCCTAGGTAAAAACTGAGCTCTATAAAATAATAAGAAAAATCACTGAAGGTAAATCTGGTACATCAACCAGTTTTTCTTTAGCTGCCACATTTTCCCTCAGTTTTACTGACAGTAACAGATCGCCTTTCTTCTGTAATACTATTACCAATTTTAGTAAATTATTATTATTATTATTATTATTATTTTACTACTATTTTCATCATTTTTTATTTTTTTGTTTGTTATAAAACAAATTATGTAATTATATTATATGGTGTACATTAGCAAGGTGTTGGTAATTATTCAGATGCTGTATGCCCAGTTGTTGTTTACAATTGTTATTATTATTATGGGCCAGTAAATGTTCTTTATCCAGAATATCAGAGGAGCTTCTGTAAGATAGGCCAAAGGTTTAGCCAACCTTGAAATGAAAGTTAGGCTAAAGGTAAACAACCAGGATTTACCGGTTTCTTATTGTTTTAAAAAGATGGAATGACGGAAACCAAACTCTGGATTATGTCCAAAAGGTGAAAAGTTACTTTAATCTTACAGCAGACATGTATAAACGGCTCTTCAACTGCTTCAATTTCACAAGAACATTTTCCTCACACAAACAAACCTTTTTGAACTTTCTTGAATGTGGACGTACAATTTAGGTAATCGTCTGATAGTGTTATATTTTTTCAAACATTGTGACGTCCCCCTCCACTTTCTGTGGAGGGATCCGTCAGTTATTGTGTTTTGTCTTGAGGCGGAGCAGAGTGGGCGGGACCAGGATTCGCCAG